GCACGCATGCACGCATGCATGCATACCGACATATGTAGGTGGCGGGAAGAGAGGAGGACATATGTGTATGCGTGAACTGCAAGGTTCAAGTTTGTCTGTCGGCGTGCGTGGCTTTCTGCTTTTTCACGGCGGCATGACAGGCTTTCTGCGCAACACACCTCGAACGAGTTGCGGGAGGCGTGGATGAAGTGGCGATCTTCGCTTGCCGACCGTCAGATGCAAGATGCGACCATTGTGACTGGAAAGGAGTTGGCGGCTGCTGAGGCTCTCTTTGGAATGTGCCGCTTGCAACTTCAGTGCGATGAGCCGGAGGTCTGCCGACAGTCCTGTGAAGAGAGTCAGGGACCCTGGACTTTTGGTTGGAAATAGCCGGCACTCCTAGAGCATAAAGACGAGGTCGGCAGAAAGCCCGCCTGGAGGAGGAGGAGCTTGAGGTGCTCCTTGGGAATGCCTGGCTTCCTGCTTCTTTGCAGTGTTTGTTTTGTCCAGGCGATCTCGACACTGCTCAGCCTTCGGCCAAGCTGCCGACATTTCAACATGCCATGCCTTGGAGATACTATTGGCAAGCTGTGTCCAGGAACCGAAGTGATCCAATCGGAGAAGGCGATGCATGTGGCGCGTATGGAGAATCAAGTGAGGCAACGACTCTCCGGCGGTTGGCGAGTGGCCTCTGCTTGCCTCTTTAGGTGCCAGCAAGTCAAGGACCTGCGCCAGAAAGAGGCCACGAGACTCAGATGTAAGTCGTACTGTGGGCGTGGGTTTGTCTTGCCAGGCAGAGGAGCAGCAAGAGTACGACTCTTTGGCTTTAGATCGCGACCGCTGGCGTGCGGGAGCCCTAGGCCTTAAGCTTCATTGCACGGGCTCGATGGCTCTTTGCGACTTCGCATCAAACACTGGCTTGTTCCCTGCGTCATCCCGAGTTGTCAAAGGTGTGCTCCGCGAGCATGGGCGAGGTCACCTGTTCTGGAAAAGACGAGAGAATGTCGTGTCGCAGTGTGGAGCGTGTCCGCCAGAATTACCATCGAGAAGTCCTCGCTGCACAGCTCGAGCTATCTGTGCGCAACCAGGAAGTGAGCCAGGCCTTCTTGACAGCTTGCAGCTAGTCCTGTCTGCATTAAGGGCCCATGCACAGTGTGCCACTTGACAAAGCCCTTCCCCACAGGCTCTGATCTGCCCTCTTCAGCACAGCCTCAGCTTGCTGGAAAGGCATGCGCTGAGCTGCGTTCGGAGCTCACCGCAGCAGAGGCTGAGGCAATTGCTGGGAAAGGGTCTGACTGAAGCTTTGGGGTTTCGATGTCCCACTGGATGCAGGTCAATCCGCTCCGGACCAAGCTCCAAGAGGCCACTTTTGCGTTTGAGATCTGCCCCACAATGCGTTCGTCTTCGCCAGCTGTGTTTTCGATAATGTGACTGACTGGCTATGTCTTATTGGTCGAACTACGGCCTGCACGAACACCTTCTGGCTTGGATGCATCCTTTGCTGCCAGGTATCGGGCGAGAATTCATCTTTGTTGCATGAAGGCTGGAGACTTGTTGACGTGCTTCTCGGCTGGGCCTGCACCACGAATGCGTCCAGGACGCTCTCTGAGGGAGCAATTGGTGGAGTCTTTGCGAGAGGATGGGAAGAGTGCAGGCTTCTGTTCGCCATGTGGTCTTCTCCTCGCTGTTTTCAGGCCTCACGCAATGGGGACCGACTCCTCGTGTCATGGGAGAGGCTCGTAGTTGAAGCGCGAAACCGTGAAACTCTTGCGATCTCTTGCGCCTCTGCCAGGTGCAGAGCCGCCAGCGAGGAGGTCTCCTGTCTAAAAGCCGAGTTGGCCCAAGCTCGCGAGGCCCGCGGGCCCGGTTGGTTGTTTTTGTGTGGGGCCACACGTATACGGGCCGGCATCGCGTTTTTCAGGAGGTCGCGGAGGTGGCAGAGGCGCTCGTGGAAGAGCAGTCCCAGGCGTGCTGCTAGCTGTGGTGGCCTTGTCGATCGCAGCCGCAGCAGCTCGCGGCAGCTCGCCTTTTGCTGGAGGCGTCAGACCTGCGCTGCCGCCTGCGCAAGCCCGCGACTCACGAAAAAGAGCTTCGGAGAACGAGGACCGGTGGAGTCGGAGCTCCCGAGGTCCGGACTTATGCCAGCACTTGCTGAAGGCCTTGGCATGCCGTGGCATACGTCGCCGTCCATTTCTCTCACGTGCCGTGCGCAGGAACTCCAGATCCTCGTGAACGCGAGGCCCGAGTCAAGGAACCAAAAGGGGCCAAGGTCGTGGAATCCGCAACCCCGAGCCAAGGCCGTGTGCAAATCTCCACCACTCTGGAGCCCTGCACAAGATCTGTGGCCGAAGGCACGAACCTCATAGGGCTTGTGCACTGATTGAACGCTGCCTGTGTCAGGTGCCCTCCAGTCCTGCAAGCAGCTGGCAGCCCCCTTGCTCGCCGGAGTTCCTTTCACCCAAGCTAGAACGCACCCAAAAAGAAAGCTTCCGCGCAGTCTTCAAGCGACATGCTGGGATGCAACATCGCAAGACCGGATATAGGGTGCCGCAACTGCATTTGCGGCCCGTTGCATGCCGTCAAAGAAGGGATGCCAATGCCGAACATGAGCGCATCTGCTGTGCACGTCCAAGAAAGGCATCCTTGCGGCCAAAGCGAGGACAATCCGAAAGAAGTGACAATCCTGGAGTTCTGCTGTTCCGCAGGCTTGTAGATAGCCTCTTGCAATGCCATGGCACACGGCTCATTGAGTGAGAGCGACGTCAAGGATCCCTGCTCACATGCTAGCTTGAAATAACAAAGAATGCGTGGAGCCTCGGCCACGTTTTGGCGAGGCTGCCCTCGTTGCTGGCACGGCGGCAGCCTTGGGGTCGGTCCCTGAGTTTCAAGGCAGAGCTGCGCGATGTTGCGCATGTTTTGTGGACCGACCTCGGGTGAGGTTCGTTGCTGGCCTCCAACTGGCTTGGGTCCGCTTGTCGCCGCGAGTCGTGTCCCAAGGAAGCGCCAGCTAGGATACTGTATAGTCAATGCGAACTCGCGATTTTTACCTGCTCTCTCTCTCTCTCTCTTTTTTGTCGCCCCAAGGTAAGACGGAGACTGCACCGCGAGAAAAACCACAATGGCCAGGGGGAGAGCAATGGGGACAGGAGTGCCACTCACCGAGAACCGTGTATAGGCGCTGCGTATTGGTCACTGCTTGCAGCTGGCAGGACCGCACCGTTGGGGGTTGTTTGCGAATGTGGAGCTATTATCCAGGGCAAATGCACTCCTGAGGACCCTGCCGAGAGCCATGACATGTTTGTTTGCCTTTGCAGATGCTGAGCGTTTCAGGGAATGTGTGGATGAGTCAAGCGCGCAGTTTTCTGCATGTCAAGCTCGTCTGCACGCACGCATCCGTACACACGTTTCCTGAGTACTTGTAGCCATGAGCACATTTTCGGCTGAGGCTAGGCTTCACAAATTTGAGCCTGACAGGAAATTGCCAGACATAAAGCCTCGAACCGCCACAAGCGCAACATGCTGCGGCACAGCAGCAGGGAGGCGCGACAATGCGATCTGCATGAGGACTGAGAATTCCTGCATCTAGTCTTCTCTAAACGTGTGAGCCATAGCTTGGCAGAGTCATTCGTGCAATCTCCAGCAGCATTGTGGTTCAGATGGCAGTTGCAAGTTACTCCTAGAATTTGCTTGTAGATTCAGTCTCCTACTGGGTCGCTGCAACTTCTGCAAGATCAAGCACGATGAACGAGGCACGCTCCATGAGGCATCATCATCACCACAGCTTCTCTATGTGGTTGCAGGTGATTGGTTTTCGGAGTGCTTTCTTCATTGACACTGCTTCGAGGCAGCTACTCGTATTGCGACATGACCTCATCACAGTTCGTCTTGTTGTACAGGCTACTCTCTCCAGGTGGACAGCTGGAGGCTTAAAGGCTTAGGGCCGAGGCAGCCTAAGGCCTAGGGCAAATGCAGAGCACTCGACCAGTTTGCAGTTTCCATCGAGCGCTGTTGATGCAGAGGTCGCGCCGCCTGGCGTGGTGGACGAAGGTGCGACACCGTGAACAACAGACTTGCGAAGTGTGCTACAAGTAGCTCCCAGCCCTCTGTCCAGGCCTTGCTGCTTTGTGCCAACATTCCTCTCGCGGCTGGGATTTGCAAGGGTGGCGCCCGTTGCAACTCAGTTCTACTGTGCACGGTGATCTTCGTGATCCGGGTGATGTTCCAGATGACTTGGTTCTGGTCACGCGGAATTCCCTGGAAGGAGGTGGTTTTTGAGGTGGCAGTGGGTTCTCATTAGGTTCCTTCGCCAGGAGTTGCAGGGTTGCAGGGCTTTATGGCCTCTACAAAAGATCAAAGCTCTCGGTCAAGCTAAGCACCATTCCTGAAAAGAAGTCGACGAGCAGGGCCCTCAGGCCACTATCGTAGAAGCTGCTCGCTGCTTTACTTACAAAAGTTTGATGAATTGTGATGGCCTGCAACTCAGAAGATAAGTCAGGGCATCAAGAAAACCGTAAGCCCTAAAGGCCCTGAAGGGTTCAAGGGTGTTTTTGTCCCTTCGAGGCAGGTTGTGTGATCCCGATCTCCATCGTCTCCATGGCAAAGGGCGCAGCTACGCGGACATCCCACATCGACTCTCCCGGATTTTGGGGCCTTCTTGCATTCCTGCTGGGGACCTGGCTGAATCTGTATCCAGAGTGGCAGCGACATGTGTGGAAGCGGCAACCATGCCATCAAGGCCGTTTGTACACGGAGGGATTGTTTTCACTGGCGCGACACATCAATTACACTGGGGAGATTTTGTCTTTCGTCGGCTTCTCCCTTGTCACTGGCGCCTTTTGGACAATGTGGGTGCCGGCCGCCATGGCGCTCGGAATGTGCACATTGAGCATCCGCGAGATCGAGTTTTACCTGAGTCAGAGGTACAAGGAGGATTGGCCCACCTATGTTGAGGCAGTTCCATGGCTGATGATCCCTGGCATCTTCTAGCCCACAATGAAGCCGGGAGGTGCAAAGTGGTGGGCCCTGTGACTCTCGGACTGGCTGCGATGTGTTGAGCGGCTTACCACGGTTTGCCGAGTGGACCTGCTCCTCATCTCCCAATCATGAGGATAGCACCCTCTTTGCCCGTGGGTGCTCTCACCGATGAGCGACGGCACAAGCAACGCAGTCCGGCCCGGTTGCATGATGAATGGTTGAAGAGGTATTCCAGACCACCCAAGCTCCAGCGACTACCGGCCGGAAGGGGCATGCGTGAAGGGAGGACCACGTAGCCCATACTGCCCTATGAGACCGGAAATCTGCTGCTGCCTCGAAGACTCTCAGCCTAAGTGACGATGCCGCCAGAGGTGCAAGGAAAGGTGCCGAGCGCTTCCCTGAAATAAACAAAGGGGACCTTGTGCCCCAATTCCGCTCTGACTTGCAGGTTGTGGCTTGCGAGGAGGTGTCCGAGTACCGCGCTGCCGTTCTGCGCCCGACTGAGCTCCGAAGTTCCGAGGGCCTCCGAGGGCCCCCTTTGAAAAGCCCCCCCCTTGTGTCAGGGCTTTGGTGAACTCCAACGACGTGGTCTTGGAGGCCTTGCCCTTTGCAGCTTTTGCAGCCTTGCAGCTTGTTAGGAGGAACCTGGCTTGTTCAGGTGGGTTCGCATGTGGGCGGCACAACCAAGGCCGCTGCTGTGTCCGGCAGTGCTTGCGCGGAACACCTCCTTGTTCACCCATTGGGGCTGTAGGTGGTCAAACTGGATCACGTTCCCGGGCTGTAGTGAAATTCGCGGACGTTCGCGGCAGAGTCGTCGAGCGTCAGGGTGGCGAAGAGCTCTGAAGCGCTAAGACGCTAAGCCGCCAAACATTCAGCATGCATCCATCCAAAGTAGTGCAAGTAGCCCATCTGACAGCATCCATACAACGGCAGTCAAATTACTCTAATGAAAAAGCAGTGCTTGTACTTGGCAACATCCGCATTCCGAGGATCTCGCTCAAAGCGGTATAAATTGTCGGAGGGTCGTTCGGCCGTTCAAGAGAAATCCTGCCGGCGGCACACTTGGGTGCCTTGAACAAGTCGTCCCTGTCCCGCCCATGCAACTTGTGTGGGCAGGTGATCGCATCCGTGGCTGGTCGGGTGGTTGGCGTTGACCAGCAGCCAGAACTCGTGGCGCAGGCGGCTTTTGAGGCCTCGATGTTGACAATAGGCTGAAAACATGGCATCAGGCTCGCCAAAACTATCCGGAAATCCAGTTCGAGGACCTCTGTTGTGAAGTTTCCATGGGAGCAACTTGAACCCACGATCGTGAAGTTCTACAAGTTTCCATGGTTGAGCTGCCAGGGAAAGGTGCTGTCCCGTGCAGATGACTTGATGCTGTCCCTGGCAGAACTTCGATGCCTTTGACTCCACAAAGCTGGTGGTGCAGATCTTGGGCTGTCCAAAGCGCTGAGCAAGGGAGCTGCCTGCATCGCTACACTGGCCTCGATGGCTGGTCTGACCCAGGCTTTGGCCAAGTCACTTCCTCAGCGCATCACCAAGGCCTGCTGGGCAGAAGGGCTAAGACATGCCAAACCTTTTTTTGATCGCTTCTTCGGCGGTTCGGCCAATGGGTCAAGCTCCATAGTTTTTGATCCTGACAGCATCTCCAAGCCGCATTTACGAAGAGACAGGTCGCGCGTAAGAAGGGGCAATTCTTCCGTTGCATCGCCCCCTCCGCCCCCCCGCTCTCTTCACCTCCTCCCCTCAGCACCCAGAGGTTTGCATCGACATCAGCGGCAGCCGCGACCTGGCTACTGCGCCGTCCTAAGTATGACAGCGCAGCCAGTTCCACTTTTGGAACAAGAAGTTCATGACAATGTGATGCCTGTGCCAGATGTGCAGTCTGATCCCTGAACAAGTCTGACATCACCAGATGATTGGCAGTGTTGTTTGGCATGGTGGTTTCTGAGACTAGTGCAATGTAGGCTTTCCCTTTTACAGGTAATCAGACTGATGGACTTAATTGACAAGACGATCAACCCGGACATAATGCTCGTGAAGTCACAGGCACCCCTCTGCAGACACTCCGTGAAGGCTGCTGATAGGAGATGCGCAAACTCTCCGTATTGCAGGCATTGAAGAAGATGCTGTTACGAGCTCGTCTATGGATCGAGCATCCTTTGAATGCCAAAGTGCTTTGATCGCAGCTTGTCTGTGCTTTTGCTTGGTGGCGGCATAAGCTGTGACTTGACCTCGGGCTCAACCGCAAATTGCTGAGAACATAGCCATGACGTATCGCCTTTCCAGTCAACTCACGGCAAGCGACCGGTGTGGACAGCCTGCATCACTAGCACTCTTAGGCGCTTAAGACTAGAGGATGCCGGCGTGAGCGCTGTGTCCAGTCAGAACTGGGAGCTAAAGCACCGAGGAGAAAAGAGCCGAGCTTGGGGACCGTTGTGAGAAGCAGAGGAAGCAGAGAGCGCGCGAGCGTCCGGTTCAGGGCTGGATTTTTAGCGTCAAGAAGCTCCCTGTGCTGCCGTGAGCTGATGGCTCGTGATTCGTGATTGCCATATGCAGACAGAAGCAGACCCCCGCACAACGACAGGCTCCTAAGATGTCGGAGCGGATGAAATCGCTCACCTGCAGCAAGAGTCAACACCAAGAGTACAGTAAGGGAGCGGTTCCCGACCATGCCCGTGCTGTTGCTGCTGCGGTGACCCGGCAGGAGGTGATCAGCTGTGCGCTGTTGGTAGCTGGCTGTTAAGACAGGGTTTCTGCTTATGTCAACTGCTCTGCACAGCTCTGCAGGCACTGGCGAGCTTCCGTGATGGGTGGCAAGTGCTGCACTGACCGGAAACCGCGGCCTCAAGGATGGCGCGAGAAGCCGTGATAAGCCCAGCAAGGGCCCAAGGGTCCAACTCCGACTGCTTGCCATCGAGCAAGGCTCCCCAACAAGATGGGTGCGAGCCTCCGGCAAGCCTGGGCTGAAGGCTCCAAGATACCTGGCTTGGCTCCGCAAAGAGGAAAGCGAAGTCTATGATTCTATCATGGGGTTCAGGTGTCAGCGGTCAAGCGCTCTTCGTCGTCTACCTGGACAACGAGGCAGCAAGGTTTTCAACAACACGTGTAGACGTCACACTACTGCCTCCACGGATAAGCAGTATCTGCCATATCTGCCATATAAGTATGTCCTACGCTTCGACAAGGAAGCCCCCTCCAAAAGGGTGAATGGCTGCATTTTTTTGGGGAGGGGTGAAGTGAAAGTGGAGGCTTTCTCGCCCTGACCATGGCAGTCCCCCACGGGAAGAAAGGTGCAGAGCACCAGATTTCCAGTGGAGCTCCCGATTTGAGGACAAGTCCATCGGCATCGAGTTTGAGACGGACTCGCTCGAGGTCAAGGCTGGGGCGCAGCTGAGAAGGGGCTGCTGGCATTTTCATGTGCCGTGCCCCCAGGCTGTGACTCCAGGAGGACTCTTGGACAAGTACTGCGAGCAGGAGAACGAGTTCGTCTGTCAAGGTTCGCTGGTCCGGGGCTCCGGGCTTGCAGGAAGGTCTGCCTGACCGGAAGGTGACAAGATCTATTCCGTGAACGACTTCACCGTGTCCTGCCTGACTTCAGTGCAGTGTCAGCGATGCTGCTGATCGTGGAGTCGGGATCTGCATTATTCAAGGACAAAACCGACGTTATCCGTCAGTTGAAGGAGCTGCCTGGCAGCACGGAACGACGCCTCTCATCTTGCTGCTCAGCTCGTGACACACTCCGGGCATGCCCGCCGTGCTTGCAACCTAGGGAGTCTCAGCTTGAGATTATGTTCTCGAAGCTGATCGTGGATGCCTGGCAGCAGCTTGAGCAGCAGCAGCGAAGCAGGGACCTGCTTCTGTGCGGAGCGGTGAGGATGCGAAGATCATTAAGAAACCAGGGAAGAAGCTGGGTGCAGCCACAGATACCGAGACCTTCGAAGCTCGGCCGTGACATGCACGATGCTAGCCGCTAGCCTTCTGTGGAGAGCGGGTGGGCTCGCTGAGACCATCCTCAAGATCGCGGATGAGAGTCTCATCGCAGACTGGAACAAGCAGAATCCGAAGGACACGAAGTGCTCACGCCACGTCACCAGCCCGGCATGAGCATGAGCTGCGTGAGCTGCAGCTGCGCAGGAGAGGATCTGCATTGGAGACAGGGTGATAGCTGTCAACGGCATTGTTGACAATGAAAAGGCGGCAGCTGCAACAGCTGGTACAGCGACTGCGCTCGGTTTTGCATCCGGCGGGATCTCTCGAAGGCAAAACAAGAGATCGGCTCCAAGGAGGAGCTCTTGCTGCCGAGAGCTCGTTTTTTCTTTCGTGGCGGCTGAGTGTCGGCATGTCGGCCGCCCCGAGGCGCGTGATGCGAGGTCCACGAAGGGCTGAGCAGGCTTGCAGATTGATGCCGTCGACAGTCTGCTCGAACCGCTCATGCCCCTCTATCTATGCCTTGTGCGAGGACCCTATGGGCGCAACGGGCAAGCTTCCTCCTCCGAAGGCGCCACGCTGCAATGTGAGATCGTGAGAGTTGTGTCTGAGTCGAGCACATGCCTAAACACTGCTGAAGGATCCGGATGGTAAGGGTGGGAAGCCACCGCCACCTGAGAAGTGGCGGCCCGAGCTTGGTGCATCGCCTCTTTCCTTTGACTTCTGTCCCGCCAAGGCCTACCATGAAGCTGTAGGGAACACTGTAAGGGGAATTCCCGATCGTTGAACCGCCATTGTTGCAAGAGACTTGCGACTTTGGACGCGAAATTGGCGACGCCACCGGTGTCAGTTAATGTCGTCGGAAGCCAATGGGGTTTTGAGCAAACGCAGTTAAAGCAGAGAGTTGGGATGCCCATATCCACCAAGATCAAAGCCCCTTTTTGGCCTCCAATCACATGCAGGTCAGGTCTCATAACTTGCGGCTACGAGAGCCCTAGGCCTCTAGGCCCTAGGCTCTCGCTGAGTGACTTGCAGAAAAGTGCGGATGCTTGAGAGCTGTGTGTGGCACCTCGCTATTGGATCAAAGCCACCCTTGCAATCTCTGCGTACTAAATAGGCTTCCACAAGAAGGGGCAGCGGTTTGTTGTGATTGTATGCATGCGGGGTGTATTGGCATTTCCGCCAGATGCCAACCGGCTTTCTGCATCGTAGTGCTCATTGATGTGCTCAGAAGAGTTGAAGGCAACCAGCGGTCTTTGCCAGTGAGACTCGCAACAACTGTCAGCATGGTCTTACACACTATGCAGCTATTATTTCACAAGGATCCATCAGCCAACCTGAGCTTTTGACAGAGTCGCGCTGTGCCCGCCCCGATGCGACATGAATATGGCAGCCACATGTCGAAGCAGGAGCTGCAAAACTCTCAACTTTGCGGAGTCCTCTTGCGCCGGGTCTCGCCAGGACTGTAGGGTCACCTTCGACCATCTGCCGGGGCAGATTGAGAGAAACAAGACAGGTCTGCCGGGCTGCACTTCAAGAGCCTGTCCTCGCTTCTGCACCTGGCCAGGCCTGCCGAAACCGGTGGGCCACACTCCAAGCCACAGATCGGACTGACGGGCTAACGGGGGGGGGGGGGGGGGACCGCTTTTCTGCCAAATCTTGTGTTGTTGTTTCTGTCCTCGTCTGGGAAGGATCGAAGGCGGTTGTCATCAAGATCGGTCTCGCCGACCAAAAAGCCCATTCCTCATCATAAGAAGTACGTCGGTGTTTCAAAGTTTCAGTCTGTGAGGTTCAGCGGCTCGGCATCGAGCACAGTCGACATGGGTCCCCTGCCTCTGGTGTGAAGCATGGCGAAGCCACGAGTCTGCTGTCACACAGACGCAAGGTACTAGCAGCTGGGCCACACGAGCGATGTCGCGGCTCACGGACAGTGCCAGTGCCGATGAGGTTCCTTGCTGCCCCTTCGCCAAACCAAACTCTCGTGCCGTGGCAGACTTCCGCTCAGGAAGAGCTTGAGTCACACAGGGAGGAGATCAAACCTCTCAATCCCCAGGAGGAGGCCGGGAGCAAAGTGTCTTTTCTCGGGTTGCGAGCGGCACTTCTGACGAGTTCTGAGCCCTCCAGGACATGCTGAACGAGCAGTTCCACAAGGCTCAGGACTGTAGCGGCTGAGAGCCTGGAGGATCTACCGAAGTGCTCCACAGCTGGTTTCTGTTTCTGCAGGACGACATTGAGAAGCTCCTGGTGGCTTCCTCGGAGGGCCTGAAGGAGGGCTTTGGGAGGAAAGTCCAATCAACGAGGTGTGGATCCCCGTCTCGCTGGTCCTCGGCTCCAAGAAGGAGCTGGGCCTGGGCCCTGGAAGCGCACTGGAAGCGCCTTGGGGGCATCCTCCGCGAGGGCGCTCTGCCCTGAGGAATCAGCCTGGGAGGGACGCCTGCCCCGGCCCCAGCGGCTCAGATGAAGTGCTCCTGCCATATGTGGCATGGCCAGGCGACGCCAAGCATGGCGGACAGCATCCCGGACATTGCCGAGGCCGTTGTAGCTGCGGGTTTCGGAAGAAAATCTTCACCATGGACTTGATCCTCAAGCCAAAACACATCTCGGCACTCTATTCTGTGTGCCGCAGATGATCGTACACTCGAGGAGTTCGGTTTCGTTGTCCTTGAACTCTGAAGTGTCCTGAACCAGCTTCACTCCCACACTTAAGAGAGGGAGCCATGTGCTTCTCACAGCAAACTGGCACATTGACGCCACGAGGTGACCAAAGTGGAGCCTCACGGGCTGCTTGAAACCTACTTGAGCGCGACGGACAAAGGAGTCATACGTCTAAGGTCGGCCGGCATCTCAGTGCGTGTAGACGCTTCAGTGTAGCCACTGCATGACTGCCACAGTGTCTGGTGCGAGGTCGATGGTCACTGGGGCCGGCACGGTTTGGAGACGCTGCGGAAGACACTGCGGCAGTTAGGCAGCGTACTTGGTGCATGAAGGCCTTCGTTCTCTCTACGATGTGATGTGCAGCCTGGCCAGGTTCTACAGCAGAGCCTTGTGCAGTCGAATTGCTGTTCTCAAGAGAGGCTGCTGCCCTTCGGAGCAAATTCCTTTCCTGAAGCCATGCTCTGCAGGAGAGATATAAGTTCGGGTACAAGATCCGGGAGTGCGTGGGCAGCCCAGTGGCAGCCCCTTCGCTATGCTCAGTTCGAGAAAGATTTCAGGATGGCACGGCGCTGCACCTCGCGGCGCTTCATCAGCTCGGACCTTCCCAGTTCAATCGCATAATCACCGTGGCGCGCTGTTAGGCCCTTTTCCGAGGCGTGGTGAGACCTTGCTCCATCAGCTCCTTCAGAGAAGAGCAGATCCATCCCAGGAAGGGCTGCACCGAAAAGAAACCGTGCTCCTTTCGGAACTTGCCGCATTCAGGAATACCACTTCCTATCCCGTGGCGACCTCGGCGCTGGTCAGGCATCTTGGATGGAATGTTGCGACACATAGTAGCTCAGTACCTGTAGATAGCTGTGTCTATATTAAGAGTCTTCGGCCGTATGACCACCATCCACAACATCCCTGACGCTGAGGCGTTGCACCTGGCCGCTGCAAGGGGCTTCGTGCGTCAAGGGCTCGGCAACAGCTTTAGCAACATTGACACTCGCACCTTCAGTGTCTTTTTTTGGAAGCCTTCGCAGGCCACATGGACCTGCTCTTGAGATACCGCGCAGACGTCCATGTCATCCTGTCAGTCTTGGATCAGGGAGACAGCTGCCTTGCCCGAACAGAACCCCGCGCGACTCATGGCAGGCCTACAGCAGGATCAAGCAGGTGAAAAACTACTGCGCTCTTCACGAGGCCTTTAACATGGCACATGCCAGCCGTCCACGCACGGACAATTCCTCGTTTGTGAAGTGGAAGGCGGTGCTGTACAGTCAAAAGAATGCTGCCTACTTCTTGCTGGTGAAAAAAGCGGATGTCAATGCAAGGAACTTGAAGGCCATCCGAAGTCCAAGTTGTAGAACTGCCTTGCTTTGTCATCTCCTGTGTGCCCGTCTGACCAGAAGAAGTCTCCTCTTCACTTGGCAGCCCGCTCCGGTCACATCAGGACACCTGCATGTTCTAGCTGTTTTCATCGGGGATACAATGTCAAAGTCGTGTGGAATCCCTGTGAGATTTGGCCCACGCCCTGCATGAAGCCAGGATGTCCCAGTTCCTGAAAAACTATGGAGCCAATCTCAAGGCCAGCCTGCGAGAGAATTTCAATGGCATCCAGAAGATGTGACAGACAGTATCCCTGCCAGCATGTCTCATGCGGTCCCACGAAGACGAATCATTCTAATGTCCGAGTCGTTGCGAAGGCGCTGGACGATAAGGGTGCGACGCCGGTTATTACTGCTGCGTGGGTCTTGGGACTTTGCCAAAGTCACATCCGGAAGTCATCAGGGTGCACAGACAAACATGGACTTGGCATGTGTGAGACCTCGGTGGATGAGGTAGAGGCTGGCCGCTACAGGCGGGTGCCCATTCGTGGCAGTGCCAGCGTCCTTTACAGCGCGCAAGAGAGGGCAACTCAGGTTCGATAAGCTCTTCATCTTGATGGAGAGATCCTTCGAGGACTTGCTTGTGGCCAAACTGGCATGAGTTGACACCGTCGGCGGCAGTGGCAGTGCAGTGGCTGTGGGCTGTGGAAGCTCTTTTAGGTAAGCAAACTCTGCGCCTCCGTGGCGCCGGGCGCCTGACATCGGGCCCTGGAGCCCGTAGGCTTGAGAGACGCGCGAGGCCTGAGATCATGCACGACAAGGGCCAGAGCCGGATTCATCCCGAGTGGACGGAGGTTGGGAGTGTGCAGAGTGGGAGCCCACAGAAGGCCTTTCTGACCAGGCCCTGGTCAAGCAGGCTGAGACAGATCTGGAGCGTGCCTCAACGAGCCTCAATGGAGCAAAGAACTCCGAGGTCGATGTTTTTCGAGTGTCAAGGTCTCCTCTACACGGCATTGGATGGAGATCATGCATTGGTCTGATGGGGCTGGCGAGGTGAGGGCACGCTGCGCCGCTCGGTGTCAGAATCTCTGGAGCACTGCAGGTAATTCTCGACGTGCTCACTGTGCGCCCAGAAGCGCAGAACAGCAACTACAATCCAATTCCCAGGCCGTTGAGAAACCCCAAGCTTGCGCAGGAAGAGGGGAGTAGTTCGCACGTTCCACTCCTTCCTGCTGCAGGCGAGCGAGGCTGCCATCGGGGGTGCAAATGGTGCGATGTCCTCATGTGGACTTCAACAGTCTTCCGCGAATCGCTGCCTCTTGAGTCAGTGAAGAGTGTGTAACGGTGTAACATGCCCAGTCGAAGCCCTCAAGGTGTCGATACGAATGTGCGAGAATCTGGGAGTGGGACCAGTCCCTGAGCTGAATTCTGAAGTCCCACAAAGCTGTTTACAGTATTTGCACACCAAGGGAGTCTGGGGACGGGACCTCAGTGACCAGTTCAGTAGCCCTGGCAATCTGCGTCCAAGAAAATAGGTCTGAAACTCAGGCGGCGCCGTGGCATTCGCTGTTGTGCCCGGGTGGGCTGAGCATTTATGCGTCCGACCCTGAGGCCAAAACCACGTGCAACAGTGGCTGTAAAGAAGCTTCTTGCATTCCTCTGCACGGCATCTGTGGATCATGTCGTAGTTTCTGAGATACCTGAGGAAGCGCAACACCTTCCACCAGCGCGTGGCGCTGCTAGAGGCGTGAATGGGAGCATGGTACAACTCCTGCAGAAGTAGATGAGTATGTTAGCAATTTGTCATGCTGCATGAGCGCAACGGTCTGCTGCAAGCTTCGTCCCTGCTGCAGTCTTTCCTTTGGTGGCGTCGAAGACGAGGCAACTGCTCGCAAGATTGTATGGTTGAAGCGCTTCGGCGCCAGCGAATCCGTGCACTCGCCCGTGCGCAGGCAATCAGTTCTTCGGTACGCAGAATGTCTCCGAGCTGCTGAATGCTCCCATGCGGGGCTCTTGGCACCGTTTCAGAGCATCTGCATTGTCTCTCGAATGCAAGGACGAACGCCAGGAACTTCCAGCCTGAGGCACGCTGCTAGATTGCAGCGGTTGCCCCTCTCCCTCTGGCCTCCGCCTCCGAAAGAGGTGACGACTGCCGTCCGGGACAAGGAGAGTGTTCCTGTGAAGGTGCGGCAGGCCGAAGGGCACCAGATTTCGTAGAACCTTGTGACCTAGTGCCGACGGCAGAAGTGAAGAGTTACAGTCAAAGTTTGCATGCCTGGTTATGCGAAAGCATCCGCTCAGTTGAAGCTTCCTGGCATCATGAACCCGGATGTGATGAGCATTCTTGCGTCCGCGCCCGACTGCGAGCGGATCGCATGTGTAGTTCGGTCTGGACACCTCGGGCGCTCGGGAAATTCCCGTCTGTGAAGAGCCCCAAAGCGTTCTGAGAGAGTCGAAGCCGTGCCTTCCTCAGGTTTACGCAGAACCACAACATTCTTCTCAAGCCCACTGGACAGGTGCCGGAGCATAAGGTTCGGGTTGCTCGCGCTTGAAGCTTCACAGGCGATTATCCAGTATGCGTGGGATCACGTGGCCAGGCCAGTGGTGATCTCGGGTGATTTCGATCCTTGTGCTCTTGCGGGCTGAGAGGTACTACTACTGGACCTACGTCTTCTATCAGGTCATCACCCTCGGCAACCTGGTCGTCGAGGCTTTCCGCTTCTTAACGCTTTCCTTTGCAAAACTCGGCGCCCTACGTCGAAGGTGGTGTCTCCTGCGGACACTTTCTGGCGCGGTTTGTGGTCTCTATGGCTCTATGCCATCCGATGTCCGCATTTTCTGACAGGGGTCGGCGCCTTCGCTGGAGCCTGCTTGCGGTCCTCGCCCATCTGGAGTGCCAGGGGCCTTTCGGAGCAGGTTAGGGAAGCTTCGGGAGTGGGAGTCAACTGTTCATGCGCCTCGCGACCGGCCTCGAGACTTCCTGTGCCAGCTTCTTGAAAACTACTCCTGGCTTGGGCCTGCAAATCGACAGGAGCTCTTCTACGAGTTTTGGGAAATGGCCGGATACTTGTGCTACCTGCAGCACACGCAGCGGACTTACGTTGCACGCCCATTGGAAACCTGTGCCGAGCGAGCGAAACTGTCACGGATGCTGTCAGGGGCCCACTTTACCTCACAAAGTTGGAGCCGCTCGGTTGACATGACTCCTTCGGATGCGTTCTGCATTGTGGCCAGTGCCATCCCTGTTTCGGTCATTTCCGATCTCGGCCTGTCAGTGGTTTGTATTCTAACAGGGTTATTGCCCATGAGGAGGAGGTGTGTTTCCCTGCAATCCCTACGAGTCGCCGAGGAACCTCTACAACTGGGTGTCTATCCTTCTGCTGATGGTGGCCCAGCAGCTGTTTATGCACCTTAGGACTCTGCAGCCCAAGAGGATTTGTGTTTGTGTGTGTTCAATGGCTTGGACACAATTTCAATTGACTTCCAAGGTGCTAGTTTGGTGGACATCCGGTGATGTAAGTCTTCAGGACGTGTACGTGAGGGATACGGGATACTGTCAAGATGCATGCAAGTCGCCAGGGGCTGTTGTAACTCTTTCGGAGGATATCCCAATCATGCTCTCCGTGCTGGTGCTATTCCGCTGGATTCAGCTGACGTGGAGAAGCTTGTCTGAAAGTGGATGTGATCTTCACGCTTGGGCTGAATTCCCAACTTTGCGTGTTGTTATTTTCGGTGAACTTGGGTCAACATGCCTAGTCAAGTCCGACATACGGCCGAAGCAGGCAACATCTACTGCATTAGGCTGCAGACCAGGAGTAGCAAAGACGACTCGGCTCCTGAGGGCTTGCTTGAACATGAAAACATTCGGTAGCCGCTCCAACCAGACCGTTGCAAAGCCTTCTTGCACAGGGCTATCTCCAGGGATTGTACCGATACTTCTTGCATGTTTGCGTTGAGGTTGCAGGGCCTTCGAATATGCTTGGCACTCAGCTTCGGCAGAACGTCCGGAGGGCAGCCAACTGCCTCTTGAGGTTGGGGAGAAGATCCTTCCAATCCTGCAAGCCTCCTTCTCCACCTCCATTGGCGGGTGCAGCCGGCTTGGTAAAGAGTCGTGTAAGCACATGTTTCATGAGTCCCCCGAAGCATGGTTGTTGCTCCGGCAGGATCCTGGTGGTGACTTTCTGCGTGCTTGTGGGATTTCTGCATGGCGCAATGGCACTGGAGCTTGGGCTTTTGCCTCATTTTGTACCGCAGGGATGCCTTGCACTCCACCTTAGCTTCGGAGTCAGGCATCCACTTCCGCAGCACTACTACGTGGCACCTTGCCTTGGCTTCTTGAAGTTGCTCTTGCTTTTGATTGAGGGGGGTTTCTTTCTGACGCAGCCTGAGCAGCTTAGGCCTTGGGATCGCTGAAGCTGCTGCTTCTGGGTGGACCTCTGAGAGCCGCGGCACCTGCAGCGGCTTCGTAGCACGGTCACCTGTGAAGGCGATGGAGACGGGATCGATGTGGCCCTCGCAGTGGGCGGTGCGCCTGAGGAGACCCCGCAGTACTTCATGATGAGGCCGCACCGAAGCAGAGTCAACTTACGGCACATGCTTTGACAAGGAGGGAACGCCGATGACCTTCGTATTCCTCCTGACTGCTGTGGTCGTCTTTTGTGTCAGAGACCGAAAGCTTGAGCGGTTGCTTCGCCCTTTGCTCTTTCTTATGCTCCCTGCACGGCATTGGTGTCTCCCAGGTGTGTGTCCTCAACCTCTTCATTGCAGTTCACGGCGAGGCGATCGAAGCAATTCCCATGCGGGCACAGAAGCAATCAGGAATGCTGGTTACGCCTACATTGAGTTAAGTGGCCATTGTTAGGAACAACCCCCCCCCCCCCCGCCTTGTTCGGAGCACGACACTGGCTGCAGATGAGAGTCGAGATGAGAACATGGCCTCGGTCAAGGGATTCAGGGTTTTAAGGGGTTTGGAGTTAACGGTGAGGAGAAAGGAGCCTCTCTGCCCCGCCCCCCCTCACCCCCCTCCGGGTCTACTGTGCGCAGCCCGCCCGCTCCGGACATAGCTAACCGACCCACCCGTCACCCATCAGCTGTCGCAGACATCGAATGTGCGTCGTTGCTGGCAGGCATACAACCGGGCGCAAGACAAGGCTGCCCTTTAGCACTTCTGGGGAGCATCTGCACTCTGGAGCTGGGCAGATTCGCTTGTTGATGTCTCAGAGTGTCGTCACAGCAATGGTTGTGCAGGCCTACACCAGCTTTCTGCAGGCCACTCCTCCCTGGCGGTTGTTTCTCAACGCTGGACTTACTATACGCACTGGGAGGAACGAGCCGGAATATGTCTCCACTGCTTGTTGAGGCCAGGCCGGCCAGGCTTGCGGCTCTCACTCGTCTTTAAGTCGGATTTTTTTGCCAGACCATCCTGGCCCCCGGTCTGCTTCCCCTTCCGTGTGCCAGACCCCAAATTCTGCCTGGTAGCGTCAGCACAACGTAGGGGCGTAGGGGCACTCCAACTTCATTGTTGTGCCAAGGCCACGTCGCATTGTTGCTTACTTGATGTTGGAGCTGGTTGCCATCGGGGTCTGGGCATACATGCTGCAAGCTTGGCGCTCAGAGTCCGCTGATTCCAGCCCTGGTGCTTGCAGCCCTTCCTTGCTTCTGGCGTCGAAGTGAGGAGCCTTCGATTCACTACTTGATCCCCACCGGACTTCTCTGTGGCAGCGCAATGCTGGGCGACTCCATCCTTGCCGCAGCCTCCTGGAAAGCTCCCACCAGACTGGGGCGGATCTTCAATCTGAGGTCCAGCGTCCCTGGGACAAGAGAAAGGGGGACTGCCGATGTGCATTGTGCAGAGCACACGTCGACTATCCTTTCCGGGTCTTGCATCCAGAGCTGTTTTCTCGCTTTTTCTCGCAGGAACAGTACTACCTCTGGATGTGCTACAAGGAGCGCCTACGAACCATGCTGTCAGAAATTGCGTGTTGACCACTTATTTGCTCATCTCTCCATCTAGCTGCGCAGGAAAGCCTTGACAAGTCCACGCACATGTCAGTCCAAGTCTTACATTGATCTGTTATGTCTTCACAGCTGGCACTTGCGTCGACTGACTAGTGGCTAGTGACCGAGGACAGCAACGACTTGTACAAGTCGCTGGAGAAGGCTCGTGCAATGGTTACGCTGTCTCTTTCATTCCTTTGTCTGAATGTGCCTGACGATGTAGGAAGTCCGACAGCTCAGCACTCAGACCTCGCGGTCTCACAGCACGCACACATGACTTTATTACGGCAGCGGGCATCGAATTGCTTGGCCCAGGGTCTCAAAGCAGTTCGAGCGGCAAACACGTAGCTTCGCGGAGCAGGTGCAGGCTGGTCACATGGCTTGCGGTGTGAAGAACTGCGTAAGCAGTCTTGTCTTTTATTTAACCTATAATCATATCATATCGACTCTAATCTTCTGTCGCTTCGTTGGTTTTGCTCGGGTGTCCTTTCAGTCACAGAATACTATGCAGTTTCTCGCGGTATTCGGGCTCCTTCAGCCTCTGGCCTCTCTTTATATTTTTTTGGATTCCGATGTGCAACGGCTGAGCCGGGCAACCACTGCGATAGCACGGGCTGTCGGACAAGACAGACCTACAGCAGAACACTAGCACAGCTTGTGCTAAGCTTCTTTTTTCGGCAGTGGCTTGGGTTTTTTGGAGAGCCCGTAGCTTCTGACTTCGGGTTCGCTGAGTGTGCCTTTGGTCCCTGACTCTTGAGCATCCTTGGCTCTTGTCCAGGGTCTGAAGGAGCGGCTGCAAGGCAAAGCGGGCGCTTGGTGTCCTTCGGCGTGTTTTTCGGTTTGCGCTTGCCCGGTTTGTAGGCTTGGAGTCTTCCATGGAGAAGCTCGCGGACACTGCAGAGTACGTGTCGTGCTCGGGTGGCATTGGCTGCGTGTTCTTGCCAGCTAAGAGCTCGGTGCAGGTCTCTGGGAGAGTGGGACGAGCGACCATAATGGAGTGAAAGCTCAAGGTTGACATGAAGTTGTACATTTTACCTTCGTCAGGGCCGTAGCAATAGCAAGTGAAGAGCGCTTGCTTTGCGAAGTGCCGTGACGAGTTAACGCACCCGCTCACAAGGAGCTTGCAAAAATGCCAGCGATGTCATGTCCAGAGTTGCCAGGAGTTGCCTGCCTGGGGTTTCCAGGACAAGGTGCAGTGAACCTTCTGCAGGATTGTCAGATTCACATGATTGTCGACAGACAATTTGTCGCCAATCTTTGTCGGCTTCGCTGTGGCTCCATGCCATGCAAGCAAGACCGTGCTGGAGTGTTAGAGTTAGAGTAGTAATAAGCGCTTAGGACCTATCTTGATCGCCTTTCGAGTGAACTCTTCAACACGCTGTGGAATCAGAACAAGGAATCATCGCGCGTTTCTTTAGCCCACCGAAAGCAAACCAAGCCCAGTTAAAGACAGCTTCCCTTCGTGTTCGCTGGTCGCCCGCGGTGCAGTAGACTTAGTCCCAGAAACCTGGCTTGGGCTTGGAGGCCTCTCCGTGAGGTCATGGCCTGGGCTGCTCCGAGCAATGGCGGCGGACCGTCACAGGCCGGGAAGGAAAACCAAAAAAGGCGAAAGGCGAAAGGCGAAGGATGGCGAAGGCGCCGGGCCTCGCAGCCTCGCAGGCGCGAGGAGCTGAGCTCGAGGGCAGGTCGGGGCCGAAGCGCAACGTTGGCCCTGCCGGGCCCCGAGCTCTCGTGGCAAAAGCATTCGGAGCTTTCGGCTTTGTGGGGGCAAAGGCGATGTCTTCCCGCACTTCTGCCTCTTCTCGCTCCGGTGGAGTGAAAGCCGGCTCACCCAAGGTCCTGCCCCAACAACCTTTTTGGAAGAGAGAATCAGGACTGCTAGGAGTGTGGTGAGTGCTTCCCTGCCTGTCGTAGTAGCTGCTCAACCCCTGCATGCGGCATGCGGCGTGTTGTGAAATGGCAGAATGCCGGTTCCTCCACTGCTGGCTTGGACCATAAGAGCATCGTGGCAATGAGCCAGATCTGCACGGAGGACGCTAAGAACACCGCCTGTGCCTGCCATGTTGCACTGTTCTTGATCGCAGCGACACAGGACCTCGATGCCAAGATGCGGGAGAAGAGTTCGCTGACAAAGCAGTTGGCAGAGCTGAAGCGGAGCAAACTCCAGTGCCCTGAAAGTTGTTGTGGCAGTCGGCACGATGAATGGCGGGATAGAAGTTCTGACATCATACGGCAGCGCAGAGTTGCAAACAGGTACGAGACGAAGCTCCAGAAGAAGAAGAAAGACGATGACAGCGCAGTCGTGCAAACCATCGACCTGGTCCGCCCGCCGAAGAGTGAAGAGTTACTGAAAGTCAAGCCGGTCCGCGAGTTCTGACGAGGAAAAAAAGCTGCAAACCATTAACAACAGCCCGGCACTCAAGGAGTAGAGTTAAACGACATCACGACTAGCTGCCGGAAGCTGCGGGAGGCAACCGAGTGGCCACGGCCGAGCTGTCAGGCAGATCTCTGGGGGCATGTAGTGGTGTTTCTTCGGCTCGATGGGTCCAGCCGGTCAGGGCTGGGGTCCGAGAACGAGCGGCTGCGCCAAGACATCGATGCCTTGAGATCGCACCTGCAGGAGGCCGGGAAAGGGCGCACATCATCCTATGATGATAAGTGATAATATAGTTAAGTGCCTCTTTGTCGCCGCTGGATAGAGAGGGTCCTGGGACAGCTCCAGTTATGCAAAGAGAAGACATGAGAAGACCAAGAGTACGTACTGCTTCCACCTGTTGACCCCCGATCCGGGGGTCGGGGCTTATAACTATTGCTCAGGCCTAGCTTCCCTTCAGCCGACAGGCGTCCTTTCGAGGGGCTCGCACATGCCAAAAGTATAGTCTAATACAATAGACCAGATGCCCCAGCAAAGCTAACACTCCCCCCTATATGAGCCCGTAAATCACGGCGGGTTAGAGAAGGAGTGTCGGGGCCCGTTTGGACACCCGGAGCTGAAACCTTGCCGGGGCGACCTTTGTCGAAGGAAGTTCCAAGCATCAGCCCCCTTCCCCGGGGCTAGCCAAGCATTTCATCACGGCACCAAGACACCTAGTTTCCGACGAGCACTGCCCCCCCCCCCCCCCCCCCNNCTGCCCCCCCCCCCCCTACCCGTATTGCGGCATTCGATACCCTCTGCAGGGCACTTTAGCACACTGGCCACTCAAAGGTGTCAAGGATGAAAGGCACTCCGTGCTCGGACAACCTCCTTCCAGGTTGCAGTAGGGCTGGTCCAGGACATTGCCATGCAGCTAACACTCAACCTGTAGCCCCTTGGCTTTTGCCAGGTGATACAATGTATGTGGGGGCGCCCTGCGGTTCAAACTCACGGTAGACGCCGTTGGCTTATTCCGGCAAGTAGCGGTGGCCTCCTTATTGCTTACGCTAAACGCTGGGGGCTCCCTATCGCCCGAGAAGCCACCGGCTCATTCCACGTGGTAGCGGTGGCGCTCCTTTTGCTCTCTCTCTCTCTCCTCCCTCTACAAATACCACCTCCAGCTAGACGAGGAAGCTCGGGAACCACAAGCTGAACAACCATCACCGAGCCTGCGGGATCCTGAAAGGTAGACTTCATGCATGTGAGGGGACCAAGATTCGTGGGTCAACGGGGTAAAGCATCCCACTCATGTCCGTCTTTATTATCAAGCGATCGCCAGATGGACTTAGACAGCTTCGCAGCATCACACTGTCACGCCAAAGACATCAAATACGGCACTCGAAAAGTGACAGTCACGGATTTGGAGGAATCCGCGCCATGACTCGACCACCGCAGGATGTCCAGCAGGCCATACAACAGAAGCAGGAGCCGCTCAGTTCAGACCCTCGGTTGGCCCAGGCTCACACCAAACTCCGTGCCACGCTTCTAGTGCATCTTCGGACGCTCAGCCACAAGCGCTCCCAGCAGAACACCACGACCCATGGCAACCTGGCCAGCAGCACCCACCGCAGGCACACCAACACGATGATTTTACAGGCAACAAAAGCTTCCCTCATCCACATACATGTGTGTGCATGTGATTTGGATGTGATTTCAGCGTGTGGTCTCACTGGACGTTCATGAATGCAGGCCACGACAGCCTACGAAAGAGAATGCGAAGCTCTGGAGGGCTTGAAACAGGCCCTCCAGGCCACACGCAAGGCCATGGCTTCCCAGATGGTCGGTCATGCACTGCACGTCACGTCACCGGTGGATGCGGCCTCAGTGAATATGCAGGAGCTTGCAGCTGAATCGAAGCAGCGGGATATCGTCCAGCAGGCAGGGCTGGCCTCACAGGCGTCGTGTCGTTGAGGAGATATGTGCTCCCTGTTCACTCGCAGGACTTGCGTGCCTCGCGGACAGCACAGAATCTGATGATCAACAGGCTAGACGACATCGAGAGGAGGTGCCATACGCCTTGGCATCGGTTAAGTTGTCAGTTATGCTGAGTCAGCTTGGAATGCAATCGTAACGAATCGTGTTGACTGAACCCCAATGCTACATGCAGTGAGCACCACACGTATATGGCATGGAGACCGTCGATCACATGCCTGCACCCAACATGCATCAACACAGGCTTCCCTGTCGCCCTCTTGTTTACAATAAACAGGGACGGCAACGGACGTATCGCGAGGGTTTACATAGTCATGTTATTCCATCTTGTAAACATAATTGACATGCTCGCAGCTGTGAGGGCGTGCTTCAGAAACGCCTAATCAGTGAGATCCTGCGCCGCTCCGCTTGGGTGGTAGACCTTCGTTCATGGGGTTCCTTTTAGCTCGGATACATGTACCATGTGTGAACTTGTATCTCACTGACTGCCTGTTTCCGACAACGGATCGAAATTTCAATCCCGCATAAACGCATGTCTGTCTCCGATGGGGAGCAGGGGGCTTCCGCAGTAACCCAGAGCGACTCTTCAAGATCACACAAGCACGCTTGTGCCCCCATCCCGGCAGCACGCAAACCAACACTTGCACGGCGCGCTGGTCTGTAGCTGCACCAAGGGGGAAGCGTGGGATGAGGGCCAATTGGACGGCGACAGTCAAGGTATGCTCGACACAGATAAGTGGCTAAAATCGCGCCCTGCCGGAACTTTCTGAATTCCCACTCGCTTCTCGGAGTGCCATATCCCAATTTCTCTTGAGTGCACCTGCCAGGAACAAGGCCCTCAAGAACTGCGTTGCCAATGCCATCCATCGATAATGCTGAGCTTTTGCAAGTCTACCTCTGGACGATCCATGACCATCCTCGGTTTGATTATAGCTGTTGGACCAGCAGAATTCCTACCTTGAATTGGACCATCCAGAAACAGGCTTGCAAGACGAGAGTACTCGTAGTGCTGATGTAGACTATGCGATCCATGCGACTCCCCGCGATGCTGCGTCTGCATCCCAAAGCATCGAGGGGTTCGCTTGACTCTCGGACTCCAGAGCGAGAGCCAGCCCAAAAAAGTGGGACCTGCGTAGGACCAGGGACACGAAGACCGGGATGGTAGTGGGTCTGCTCGAGTGGGCCTATCTTGTGTCGTGGGCAGCTGGCTTGCGTGATAGCTCAGCTGGAAAAGTAGCGCCGTATTTGTTCCACTTCTTTGGTTGTCGACGCGCATGCCTCAGGATGGCAGTTCTCTGTACAGCAGGCCTTGTCTTGTTCTTTTGCAAACCCACGTAGGTCAAGAGGACATCATGAGCGGCTTAATGGAATACAATGGTACGGGGCTTACGAAGACCCACGATTGAGCTTTCCTTACAAAGCGCTGTCCCGGCCGCAGTGAGACAGTGTGCCTGCTGCAGCTGCATAACTTCATCACCGCGGACAACTAGACAGACAGTCTCCTCGCGGTGAGCCAAAGTTAATTGAGGCTCGACCATTGTCGCCATGGCAGGCGATAAGTGTGTCGGGGACCCGATGTACTGCAGGCCCTAGCCTGTTCGCTGGATGAGGTGCCATTGCCTGACTTGCCCAGGTAGGCATCGCCTCGGACTCGCGCTACGGAGCTTCGGCCCCAGCAGTGAGTCGACGGTCAGGGCTTGAACCCTTTTTGGGCTACCCATCAAGTTGCATCGCATCGCCCAGATTCGACAGCTGCAGACGGTGAGCTGCAACAGGCAACGGTCCTGGCCGTGTTGTGTTGAGCATCAAAGGCCCTTTCGTTGTAGATTTCTGGCCAGGCAGAAGTGCTTCCAGGTGTCTGAGGCCCAGCACGGGCGGTGTGCGAAGCTCCAGATTCCACGAACAGGCCTTGAGGCATCCTTAGGGTTTTGCAGCGGTTTGTAGCCTGCGTGCCGTGCCAAGGACCGACCAATGCTATGTTGGACTTGCAGGATTAGCAACAGACGCAGTGAGCCCAGTTCGGTATCGCTTTGATGTGTAACGGCGTCATCTTCAGTCTTCTTCTCGTGCCTGGTCTCGCAGTGCTACCGCTGCTAGCGAGGTGCAGACCATGAGCCAGCTGTTAAACTTCCGCATGAAGTTGTTCAGTCTGCGGGAGGACTTGCGGCTCAAGGTCACAGTGGCAGAGTCAACGTTCCACGAAACTGCTGCAGAGCAGGAGCGCGTCATGCAGCCAAAGATGATCGGCAACATGCTCGCGTCCATGCTGTGCGCCAGCGAAGATCAACATTTGCACTGGCTAGAGGCTGTTGGTTCAGCCCAGCACAGAAGTTATGAAGGTATGAGAAGCGTTTTGGGCCGTGGTTCACAGAGCCAGTCGTCGCCGGGTTGGATAAAGATCAAAATCCGTGATGGTCTCAGATATTGATTTGCCATGTTCGAGTTCGCCGGCGGTAGCTACGCTTGTTGGATCCTTGAGGTTTCTTTGTGGATTCGACTTCATCGGATGCCTGTCTACCGCAGAGGACAAAGGGTATGCCGTCAGGAAGCTCGGAATACTGCAGCAAGATGAGAGCAGCGAAGTAGCGCAGGACTTCGTAGTGTCGGGCACGACTTCAGATCAGCTCTTTGGTGTGTGCGAATCCTTCTGGCGCCCTGGCCGGGGCCTCTGCGAGTCCCTGTCGCGATACAGCGATACCTGGAAGCGAAGGCATGAACAAGGATGAGCTCTTCGAGACTCTCTCCCAGTGCTCCGGCATAGATAAAGAGCTGCTCTTCATAACTCACAACTTTCAGTTCTTCAAAGAAGGCTCTCAGTTTTTGAAGGTGCCTGCTGTCGGGTGTGGACCGAGACTGCCTGGCGGGCCCTAGGCTCAGATACTGATAGAGCCGATCAGAGAGCCTTACAGAGCCAAGCTCTTTGACTCTTCGAGGTTGGGGTGGTGTCGTCCACATCATCACACCCGATGAGATCATCACAAAGAAGCTCAAAGGTCGTAGGTGCCTAAGTGCTGCGTGCTGGACTGTCCTGCAATGTTCTCTGCTCCCTATGCTTGTATCGTCATGTTTCTTCCGAGGTATGGATTAGAGTGGGAGTACCTGTCGCGGAAGTGAGTGAGCTGGGAAGCACACCAGAAATGGTGAATGCTCCTCGCACCAGCCAGCCGCTGAGCTGTGAAGCCAAGCATTTCATCTCGAAATTGGCAGGGCCGTCGGTGCGAGGAGATCATGATTGGAAATTCACAAAGAGTAACGGTTCATGACGACGACCAGTGATCCATATTGCAATCTTACGTGCCCACAGATTGACTATGAAGAGAGTATAAATGACTAGCTCCGTCTTGGACATGTGCTGAACCGGGCACTTCAGAACCAAAGCGGCTGCACAGATGTCGCAGCCTGGCGTGGCCTTCACAGAGCCAGCCTATTGAAAGCTAAACACCGTTCTGCTTTGTTCTTCTCTAGCTTTGCCATAATGAGAAATGAGAAGCGCTGTGAAGTCAGACGGCGCGATCATTCTCGGCGGTTTCGGTTCGCTTGTGCATTTTGCCGTACTGACGAGACGCACCAGTCATAGCAGACACTGGAGTTGTGTAGCTGTTTCGGTGCCTGCATCATGGCGGCGATGTGGCGTCTTTGCCTACTGCAACTTGTTGCAGTATCGCGCTATGCGCCGGACTAGTCAGGTTTGCAGGGAACGGGACGATTCCTGAGGTCAGTTTGCAGCAGATCCCTAGCTGCTCCGAAAGACGACGAGGTTCACAGCCTTCCCGGTTGGTCGGGCGGGCTCTTCTCCAAGACGTATTCAGGCGCGGTGCTAGGACTAGGACCCAGGAGTTTATCCTGGGCTGGGCAGTGGGGTGAACCGCGGACTTCCCGCCTGAGATGCCCTTGTGTGCATTGCTGGCAGGCTACATCCCTGCAGGCGAGGAGGACGGCCATGAGATGTTTGAGCATTACTTGTTCTTCGAGAGTGAAGGCAATCCGACAGACGATCCGCTTCCTGCCACAACAGAGTAGATAAGCTCGCACTCACGTCTGCCAAGATATCGACAAGTATCGACTGAGAACACGCAAGGCTAATCATGTGGACGAACGGTGGACCTGGAGCATCTTCCTTGCTGGGATCATTCACAGAGCTTGGGCCGTACTTTCTGGCAGATGCTTCTCTTCAGACGGAGGCTCGGGCCGTTTTCAGGAAATCTGCTGCGTCCCCATTTTTTGGCTATTTCATGACAGGACTATCGGACTTCCGGAGTTCCAACCCTCTTCGAGAACGACTATCGCCGCCCTGCCTGAAGCTTTGCCTCTCTCCCTCTCTCTCAATTTGGCTTCCCTTCAGCAAGAGCAGCTATATAAGGATGGACGAAGCTTGGCTCGCTGCTCATTCGCAACTTGCCGCCTCCAATCGGTTTCTCCTACTGCAATCCCACCGGACCCAGTGGTGACGGGTACAGCTGTGGCTCCTGGAATGACACGAAGACGGCGAAGCACAGCCTGATCTTCATGCAGAACTGGATGAAGGCCTTCCCAGAGTCGCTCGGTCAGGGCAGGGAGCAGGGAGCGCGGCCGTGGTTCTTGAGCCTCGCACTGCGAAGTCTTGAGGTATTCTTCCAACCGGCTCTTCCTCGTCGGTGAATCCTACGCGGGCCTCTACGTGCCGATGCTAGCGCAGCAAATCCTCGAGGCCGGAACCATGCGCCTGGAAGGCATTGCCGTCGGCGACGGCTGCCTCGGCGGCCCGGTCACTTGGCAGAGTCTTGCAGAGGGTCGTAGTAACCGTAGTAAGCCACGTGATGACATTAATATGGCCGTCTGGCCGCAGTCTGTTTAAGGGCAACGAGGGAGGGTGCTTCCCCAGCACCGGGCCTTACTTCACCGTGGAGTTCTTCCATGGCCACGGTCAGCTGCCTCCCTGCAGATGATGAAAACCACGCAGTACAGGGATGGCTTCTGCACAAGCCTTTTGGGGTTTTCTTTGAGGTTCTCGGACAAGACATACAAGCTGATCCAGGAAGCCTGCTCCAAAGAGGACGTGCAGGGAAAAAGATGCGATCGTCTTTGTTACTTGTATCGCAAGGTCGAGTATGTTCGGGTTAGAAGCGGAGAGGAGCTGGTGAACGGAGCGAAGACGGCGCAGTGCCATGCAGCCCTGGATAAGATGGACCAAGAAAGAGGAGCCTCGGCTCTTGCAAAAAGGCTTTGCGAAAGTCTCGGAGAGCAGAGATGTGCAGATGTCCAGGTTACAGCTTCGACTATAACCTCTATGATGAATGCTACGACTTCGACTTGGACAGCGGGACCGCGGTCCTTTGTCAACGACTAGCCAAAGCTCCGACGTAGTGGTATGACGTGGCGTACTTGTTTAGCTTGACAAGTGCCAAGGCCCCGTCGATGCTGCGACGAAGTTCCAGGTGCAGGGGTGCCGTGTTCACACAGCAACTGCCATGATTCTTCGGACCTGGTATCCTGAAGGCTTCGCTCCTGGCGGCAGCTTTCCTTGCACCAGAACAGCTACTGGCACATGGATGGTGATCTGGCTTGAGTAGCTGACGGTTGACCTTTTGGCCGAAGTCGGCGGGACGCCCGGACTGTTGCAATGTCCCAAGTCTCAGGTGCACCCTGCGGCGGCGTCCATGCTATGTTCAAGTGGGTCAACACAAGTGCAGCTGAACTCAATATCAATGGCTGGCGCACAAGATGCACTCTCGGCAAACGCTCAGTATCTGTCTGTTCCAGGCGGTCAAGAAAGCCCTGCACGTAGCATCCTGCCAGCAAGAAGTCCGAAAATCACAGGCCATGTAGCCGCTTTTGTTTCTTTTTGCTGCCAAGGCAAGCGATGCCCGCTTCTTCACGGGAGACAACGGTGTGGGCTTCACCTACAACTCGACACAGCCAAGCCTGGTTCCGTGGTACTCCAGCGCAACTTGTCGAATCAGTTTCTACATCACGAAATGAGCAAATTAGAAATATGTGGAGTTTGTGGAGAGCCCACAGGCGGAGGCCAAAAAGCTGCGGATCCTCATTTACGATGGGGACGCAGACCCCGGCCTCAACAGTGGCTTGCTCCCCTTTTGCCTGGCAATGCCTGGTACTGGTGCAAGTAGATGTGTTTCATGGTTCTTTGTTTGCTCCGACATGCCCAGGCTTCTACGCACAAAACTGGACGTCTTCGGCTGGCATTCCAGAGTTGGAGTCCTGGCGTCCGTGGACACGGGATGGGAAGATCAAGATGGGTGGCTATGTGCCTGAACGCACATTATGACATGGCTCAAATTTCAAGCAAAAGCCCGTGATAGCCAGTGCCCCTGTGTCAGTGCCGCTCCCAGGTCACGCGCTACGAGGACCATTTCGATTTCGCCACAATCCGCGGTGCTGGACACATGGTGCCGGAATACAAGCCAGAAGCGGCCTTCGTCATGCTCCGATCCTTCCTGAACGCAGAGGACTATCCACGCTACCATCCTGCTCCAAAGCCAAAAACGCGTCCGGATTCCGACTCCGTTTATGTGTGACACTGGAGCCTGAGAATGCATCTGGGCCATTGCAGGGAAGCTTCTTTGCTCCGTAAGTCGGCTCTTGGTCGACCGCAATGGCTAGAGGTGATTTCCTGTGACTCTTATCTCAGCTCCCAGTTCAGACGGGTTCGACGGCGCTTGGCTGTCGCAAAAAACTCGCGTTTGTGAGGCTGAGATCATGTCATGGATTCTGCGGCTCAGGATTTACTCCGATGTGGTAAGGCATGCCATGCTTTCCTTGGTCCGACCATGTGCAGCTTGAGTTCAAAGCTCAGGTAGAGCAAGCACATGAACAAGACAGCACGAAGTCCAATGATCACAGCCATGAAACAAGCGAGGAAAATTGTGAAGTGCCTAGCGGAAACCGCAAAGGCGTGCTCCAAGAAAACTGGTGTGTGCGAAAAGCAATGGCAGGTATATGATGTGCCTTCACACCTCATATTACCTAGGCACGCCAGGCAGGAAGCCAAGAGAGTCATGGCGCCACGGGCAACACTTGTGCGACAGCATGGGATGCTTGGGTCAAGAAGGGGGTTCAGGGGGTCGACCACTGCCTCGAAATGCCGTGAGTGTCAAAGCTTGAACTATAAGGCAAGGTCAATCTCAGAGCCAGCCCGGGCGGAGAACTTTGGGGGTCTTGGCATGCCACTCGGCTGGCGTAATCCCGGTTAAGCCAGTGAAGCTCTTATGGCAACAGTCCTGATACGGTGCCGAGAGCCTACTCCATGGGTGCCTCACCACGAGCGTTTGCTAAGGTTGGCTCGCGATGTATCTGCTTCCGGCAACGGTGCTTTTTGTTCCAGGCGTTCGAGTCCCCTGGCCCGCAAGGCATGCAAGACTGCAGATATGTCATGTTGATGTTGCTGTCATCATGAAGAATAAGTAGCACTGTAGTCATGTCACCGTTTCTGCTATCAGTGTGAATCGCTGAATCTACTCCCAATCGCGGCAAGTCTTCCCCTCGTGTAAAACTCTGCTTTGCTGTCCTGTGTCTGGGGGGTTGTGAAGAGGGGGTCGGTGGGAGGACAAATGGATGCCACGATCTGAGGGTTCCGTGAGCTATTGACCGAAGGACAGTGCTGAATAGAATCAGACTGTACCAGCGGCAACCGTTGCGGATAAAAGGGCAAGGGCTGGGAATGCCTTCGTTTGAGCTTTCGTCCCCTCTAGGGCGCAACTCAATGTTCAAGAACATCCTCTGACCGCAGTCATTTTGCGTTTAAGGTCATGCCCCAGAGTCTGACGCTGGGGACGGCTATCCGATTAAATGCCCAAGATGCGGACGCAGAGCCCTCTTCTGCAGAGATCCAGAAGCTGAAGGCGTGGGCTGCCCCAGATACTGCGGAAGTGCGGGCTCTGGTATGCCCGTCTTTCCATCCATCCATCCATCCATCCATCCATCCATCCATCCATCCATCCATCCATCCATCCATCCATCCATCCATCCATCCATCCATCCATCTGACTGTGTATTTGTCTGTGTATCTATCTGAATCTGTTTGCGAGTTCTGTCTAGCTGACTTCTGCAGGCTGAGCTCGAACTGGCCCAGGCGAGGGCCGCGGCCGCGGAGGCCAAAGCCGCTCTGGCCGCCGCGCAGACGCAAAGCTCAGCGCCAATAACGGCACCCTCGGAGGCTGCCGAGGGTGCCCAAGCCAAGTGATGATTATGCATTGTACTAAGTATGATCTCTGTTATGATCTGATGTGGTGTGGTGCGGCACCATACAATACGGTTTTTATTGCTTTGTGCACTTTTTGTATGAAAGTCCAGCATCTGCGGCCCACAAGAGGCTCTGAGTTCCTCCTAGGCAGTGTGGCGACGGTGCTTGAGCCGGAGGTCGTGGAGTCCTCCTTCTCCTTATCGGATTATTCTCAGACTGAGCAGAGACCTGCCCAGTTCCTGTTCGGAGAGAAGGGCGCAGCTTTCTTTGACCTCTTGGACCGGCTAGAAAACATTCCGGACGCAGGAACCACAGTCCTGGACGAGGTGCTGCGTGGCTGGTTCCTTGCGATCTATCAGCTTTCAGCAGTTTCGGGCTCTGCCATCCTGCCCGAAAATGTTCCGGACGGAGTTCGAAGCAACGTCGCAGAGCTAGGAGACAAGGGATGGCAGGTGTGTGAGAACAGATTGATACCGTGCTGTGTCACCTAATATCCCTGGGGCACAGGAGCCGCTATGGATGCCGATGTTTTGGCGACGCTCCTGCTCGACACGGACAAGGGTGGTGACTGGCGGCCCTGCCTGCAGCGACTGCGCAGCGCCCGCCTTTCCGACATAATGTCAGATGCGCTCAACTGGACAACGATCTTTCCAGATCGGCTTAATGCTCTCACCGAGCTCTCCATGCTTGACAGCAAATCCCGTGTGATCGACTTCTTGGCCAGCGACTCCTTCAAAGACTGTGGGAGTTGGTCCGATGCTGAGGTCATTGCTGCTGAGAACCTCATCTCAAGCGATCCAAAGCTTGTGAAGATCTTTGACAGGATTGACAAGGTCAAATCCTCTATTGCGGAGAACGTGCGGAAGCAGTCGATCATCCCCATCGTCGGATTAGTCTTGCTGGTGGCTGCCGTCGCTTTCTTCTGCAATGGCATCAATCTAGGTACAGGTGCCGATGGCGACAGCAATTTGATACCCGATCAATCTCAGTTGCAGGGGCTGCCACTAGTCGGCCTTGAGAAGAAGTGAGACAAGGCGAAGGATGAGGGGGGAGTCCTCTCACGGTGCGTTTTCGTCGTTCCAGCCCTTTTTAACGAGTCACTCTCAAAACTCGACCGTTTCTGCGAGAGAGAAGGAACGAAAACAAGCTGCCCCAGAGCTGGATGCAAGCTGAGATCTTATCCTCCCTCGTTGTGGATTAGATCGCTTCGCTAGATTGGACTGGATTGATTTACTGCATCCCGAGCACTTGACATATGCTGTATTCCAGCTCGCTCGTTGCGAAGGATTACGTTCTTGGCAGGGTTTCGACAAAAACAGTCCACGCCCCATGTGTTCAACAAAGCAAGAAGACTTTGGTGGTACCGCGTCGAAGGTGTGCGCAGATGAGACTGGTTCATTCCAAGCCTCGCAGGTTCCTCCTGGCCTCCGAAAATCCTGACAAAGCGAGTAGGGATGGGGCGAAAACCGGGGAATGTCTGCATGTCTGCTGTCTCTGGTTCAATGGCCTTAGCTTTGGCAGCCGAGCCTGCCCAACCAGCAGCAAGCTGAGTTCGAGACTTGGTCACCACAGCCTGGTCTTGTTCTGTGGGGCGATGTGAGGCAGAGAGTCGTCTCTGCCACCGGCACCACGAAGCGAAAGCAGCTGCTGGAGCCCCTTGGCCTCACTTCACTTTGGGGTTGTGGAGACTGTTCCACGCTCAGGTGCGCATGGGCATCTTCAAAAGACTTTTCGGTGGATTCGGGGTCAAGAAGAAGGCTGGCCGAAAGATCGGATAGGTAGGAGGTTGCCAAAGAGGGGCGCTCGAAAGGTCCGGATTGTAGTGGTCGGACTTGACAACAGCGGCCCTGAGCTCAGACTGCAGCCTTTTGGCTGCTGTTGCTGCCGCTGTTGATGTTGCTCCCGGTTCTCCTTTGATGCCGAGCATGGAAGGCATGTCTCTTTGGGTAGACCCGTTTCAGAGTTTTGTTTTTCTCCTTCAGAATTTGTAACTTCGACATGTATGATGCGTACGGCTGCTGTGACGATGATGATGATGATAATGGTGATGATGATGATGATGATTGCCAATGTGGTCATCACAAGGTGCATGCGAGTCATTCCTGTATATTCCGGTCATGCTTTTTCGCGGCCAAGGCAAAACCACGGTCCTCAATGCGTTGAAGCCCAAGAAGGCCACGTTGGAAACGGCCCGGCCCCCAGCCTGAGCCGCAAGTCACTTGGGGTCGCAGTGTGCCTCGCCATCCCGGTTCCGACAACCCGGGTGTCCCCCAGGAGCAAGTACCCCAACAGCAGTAGCAGGATCAACATCAGCAACCGCCTTGAGAGAAGCATGAAGTGTAAAAGCAGCAACCACAGCAACATCTTCCACAACGATGACATAGTCGCAACAATGATAGTGTGATTTTGTGTACTGCTTGTGAGGGCGAGGTTCATGATTTATGATCACCTCCGACGGTTCATATCAGCCAATTACAACTGCAATGCCCTGGAGCTCAGGTGCCAACCGTGGGTTTCAACACAGAGGAGCCGAGGGTGCGTTAAGAGCTTGAAGCATGGTCTGTTGCTGCGAACGTCATGGCACAGAGGCTCCGTGTTTCGTGTTGCTGTGAGGAGTTTCAGAAGCATGGCGTTAACTTTTCTGCGCTAGACATGCTGCGGGCTCGGATTGCGAAGAGCCTCCTGTGCAGCAAAATCAAGAGACTGTCAAGTAGAAAGGTCTGGACAGAGTCGATATCGAAATCTGTGGGAACATTACTATGGCAGCTGCCTTACCTGCAAAGAGACTGGGGAAGCTGCCAGCCTCTGGCCCTTGAACGGTTTAGATAGGCTGTGAAACTTTGCAGCGTCGAAGGTGAAGTGGAGGGCATTATTGTGGTTATCGATTCCACGGACAAACTGCGTTTCGCCGTCGTCAAGGCAGGCTCAGCCCGCGGATGCAGAGGCCGAGGCAGTCGTCTTCAAAGTGCTGCAGGATGAGCTGGAAACCATGCTTGCAGACCCTAGAATAGCTGAGAAGAAGATGCCCATCTTGCATGTGCCCGAGTTTTTTCAGGGTTCCGCGTGTCCCAACTCTGCGAACCTCAGCAGATCCCAGCAGCCTTGTGATGCACGGAGGTTCCTCAACAACAAGGTTGATCAGCCGGCAGCTTCGCCACCCCAGGAGACAATGCAGGCAGCGGCGGCAGCGGGAGACGGGAGAGGTCAGAGCAGAAGCGCGGAAGAGCCGCAGCGGTTCTGCAGCTCAGGCACTAGGCCTCGATCGCATCACCGACAGGTCATGTGCTCAGCGGCTCAGCTCGGAATGAAGCGGGAGGGGATGTCCTTGCAGGCCGTGGCAACTCTTTTCCTGCGACGCCCTCAAAGGCGATGGGGTTGAGGAGGCAGGAGAGAGGAGTGGCGGCCTGGAGCCCTTGAGATCCCTTGAGATCCCTTGAGATCCCTTGAGATCCCTTGAGCCCCTGGCCCTGGCCAGGCAATAAAGTGGCTAGCGGAAAACATGACCAAGTGAGGCTCACGTCTCAAGGCCAGGGAAGCCGGCACGCTCCTTCGTAACGGTCTGCTTGGCTCTGGGTTCTCATGTGAGGTGCGTCTACCGCTACCGCTCACGTCCGAATTGCGCAGTGAGACTGATGTGAAAGGCCGGAGTGACTGCGGAGGCCTCCATTCGAGACTACCGTTGGCCCGTGTTGGGCAGTTTCACACACCACTCATTCCGCCGCGGCAGGCACTCATCCTCAGAGAACGTATTAGCTTCTGGGGGTGACGTGAAAAACCATGAAGTATGTTCAGTGCATCAAGCACGGCAATAAAGAAAGACGGTCACACACAGGGCTATCTGAAGACTCCACCGGTTGGAGCTCAAGGGCGACGCGATGCTACACGCGAACCGGGCTAGCTCCTGTAGAAGCCGTACAAGAGACTCAATACCGCGCTGAGAAGTCATGGAGCGCTGCACACCTGGAGTGGCATGGACGGAAGCGCCTTGAAGATTCTGATTGATGTTCGCCTTCACGACAAGCTGCGGCTCAAACTCTTGAGTGCGACATCCGTCTGGACCCAATCGATCTTCGCATGCCTGGCAGCGAGGTTCCTTGAGAAAGGCTAGACTCAGTTGTGGCGTATTACCAGAACCATCGATGGAGGCTGCCGCTGAAGATCGAACTCTGCATGCAGGCGCAGGCACGTCGGCTTTAAAACAGCTTCGCCGTCGCTCGACTTAGAGACGAGCTTCTGGTAACGCAGAGGGCGTAACGAAGTGCTTGTGCAGAGAGGCACTTCGCTCCTGGTGGAATTTGCGTTTTCCCCAGCCTTCAGTACAGCAGGGTCAGGCTCAGAGCGCCGCAGCATGCGACTGAGCTCAGGTGATGAAAGAAGTTAGTACAAGCAGGCCCTTGCTCATGTGCGGAAGGTGGTCTTTCTTTCTGCAGGGAACATGCCACACTGCCTCAGGTTGCAGCGGTCTCCCAAGGAATATCCATGTGACGCACACAGGTGCGGCAGAACATCGCCAAACTCAAGTGAGACGTGCAAACTCTCTTCCTGCGAGGTACCGGTGTGACCTTTGTCAACCTCTCCCGATGGACACCGGGCCGACGCTTGATCGTCGCGAGGCTGCACTCAGACTTACTCTGCACTCTCCCGTGAAACGAAGATCTCGGCAAACTGCGGTGAGCTTAGGCTCCGTCGGTTGCCATCAGATGCTACATGCAAGACGTTCAGAACACCAGCCCCATGCCCGCAAGCAAACTGCCAGTCTGCTAGCAGAGCCCGACATGCTGCATTGAGGCCAGATCGCTTCCTTCACCCGGCTTCCGGCATGGTCGAGCCGGACAAGGAAACCCAAAAGCAGCATGGAACTTATGAAACGGGTATCTCGCAACGGCTAGCACAAGCCGCCCCGAAGCTCCCAGGTCACGTGGCGTACGAAAAGCTGTCCAAGGTCCGCACCTGAGGTAGTTCCTATCGCACGCTTTCTTTGTTGGCTTTTCTGATGGCATGGCCGCATCCGCGTGGCTGCGTTCAAGGCACATCTCCAGCTGCTCCGCTGCAGGCGCCGTTGGGTCGTCGCTGCAATACGTGGGTAGCCGTGACAAGAGTCATCACTCGGTACAGGAGGGCGATGCAGCTGCTGGATCCGGCAAGGACCGGGATCTTGGTTGGAGAAGCTTGTTGAGATGAACCCCTTTCCAGTGCAAGGATACTTCTGCCGAGGGCGATGCGGCAGCCGGCTGTGAGGCCTCGCAAGTTGCGATTTTTTTTGCCTCCCACCGAAATGGTTTGGAGCTGCACGGAGGCGGTCTGGGCGACGGTCGAGGTGCCTCCCGAGAGCTCCGAGCTAATGCTGGGTCCATGAACTCGCTCGGGCCACGTCAGGCCGTCGGGCCATTCTTCCGAGCCTATCCGGGGCAGCCCGGGCACAGCGAGGTGTCGGCCACACCATGCCATGGCTCTCTGAAAGAGCAAAGCAAAGAAAGCAAAGGGCAGAGAGATCTGTCTCGCCATCAAGGCCGAAGCTGCTGGCGGTCATGGTGCGGCCGAGGCTCCCGAGGCCCGGGTATGGCAGCAACTCGAATCAGTGAAGGGCATGGTAACTAGTGACAGCAGGAAACGGAGCAGTGGCGACAAGACCAAACGTAATTCTGCAGGGTTCACCTCCTCCCCCATGAAAATACCGAACGAGCGGCGCAGGCCATTTTGCCAGCTGCAGAAGCAGGTGCGAGTGTGATTGCCTTTCAAACCAGAACTACAAAAGCCTCGACACATGTCGAGGACGTAGCATCGGCTGGCAGAAATCCAGGCGGGCCCGAGCTGCAGCGGCTTTCCTGTCAGCTGGGTACTGGAGCCCGGCGTCCCTCAAAAGATCTTGCAAACCGAAGCAGGCTCAAGATGGCTCAAGCAGAGCTCTGTGACACGACATTGGAATTATGTGACTCCTCTAGAATGTTCAGAAGGGTTCTTTCTTCAAGAGGCTTCCTGCACAGTGCAGTCTGTGCAGTTGGCCTTCTAACCTACATCTGTCTGTGCTTCGAACAACTCTTTTCGTTGCCGTCGCCATGCTGTGGCGCAGTTCGGCAGGCAGGATGGCTCATTCCAGCTTTAGCCACGGATACTCTGGCCGTGGCGATCTTTGCAGGCGAGTCGGTGACCTGCACGTCTTGGACGACAGCACCGGTAAGCGACTGATTCTGCTGGAGGTTTGGGATGTCTTACCTCACTGGCTGAAGTTGAATCTCGGACTTTCTTGAGAGTCTGACACGCTTAACTCTCCATTCTCGCTAGCTGCAGTGGAAATGCCATGTGACTCAGCAGATCAAAGAAGGTAAGTGGACAGCCATCGCATTTTGCGTCGTTTCACCTCCAGAGTCGGTACGTGAATGACATATTGAGTTGTCATGGCCGAACTAAGCGTCTCCTTCCTGGCCTCCTTTGCCTCCAAGCTCATTTTAAGGCCATGGTGCCTCCCCTATGAGGGGTTGTTCTCCTTCAGTGAAACTTCTTACATCTTTATTGTGTATTGAAGAGATATTATACCTCTGTCAAAGTATTTTCATGTTTACACAGACCTGCAGCCGCCTAAAGTGCTACTCATGGAGCTGACCACCGACTGCATTCCAAAATTTAAACTAGATTGTGAGCATGTCTGATCTTGTCTTTGGCTCCCTCTAATCTGAGTTCTGGTCAGCTGCACTGAGGCTGAACGCGACCGGAAATCCGAAGGAGGCGAGAAACTACGGAATAAGGGGCCTGTCGAGTTTTGGAGCTTTGCTCTCTGTTGTCCAACATTGACATTTCGGGTTGGAGCCTGGGCCTATTGTAGTTCATGCGACTGCTCATGTTTTCCTCACTCTCCTCACACACTCCCACTGTCAGTCTCACTCCGAACTCCTCTCACTCCCCTCCCCACTCCCGCTCACTCCTCACTCCCGCTCACTCCCTCTTCCTGCTCAACCACGACAGCAGCACGAACGGACCCTGTATCCTTGGATTGCAGGCAGCTCTATGGGCGTGCGCCGATCCAGCCTACTGCCCGGTTTGTTGCGAGATCTTGTTGTACGTCTTCGCGGAAGTGATTTCGAAGCATGTCTGAGGCCCCTCAGGATACCTCGGTTTCTGCATGGGCCCGTGGACGCCTTGGTGGGGCCTTTCCTTCCTTGTCTCTCGGGCTGGTCGCGGGCTGGAGCTGACCAGGAAAGAGTCGGTAGCGAAGGCCGTGCAGCAGCCCAACCTGGGCCTGTGACAGCCCCAGTCTGGCGA